CTTACGAGTTCATTCAGTTATGCACAATTTTGATAGCTCTCCAGTGTTTTCATGCAATTTATTTTTATGGATTCATTTTCAAAGTATGCTTTGACCTTTTTGTGACCTTTTCACTTCAAAGTTAAATTCTTCTACTTAAGTACTTGTTCTTCTAGTTCCCACGTCATTTATTATTTATATTTTTCTTAAGAATAAAATTATATATTATAGTGAGGTTGCAAAATGTTTCTTATGGTTTTTAGATGTTTCCTCCCCCTCCCAGGGGTTTTTTTAATATGGTGTCATGTACCTGATTTTGATTTTCTTGTTTTTTTGGGTAATATGTAAATCTTCACGGTATGTTGCCACAAAATAAGAAATGGAGAAAATGGAATCTTTAAACTTTGGAAGTAAATGTAATTTAATGCCTTCTACTTGCAAAGTGCAGGTTCAAAGAGCCCTTATCAACTGTTGGCTTATTTAGATGAGAGAAAATCTGAATAGATTTGAGCCATAATGTGCAAAGAATAATGAGCAGCAGGTCAAAGAGGAAAATTGGCTAACAGAAGGAAGGTGATGGAAACCCACTCTCTGCTTTGGGTTTATGCGCCTCAGGGTACAGAGAATGAAGTGATGTTCTCAGTTCTTGGAGTCTAAAAGTAAACTAAGGCAAAAAAAAGAAAAATCTGTCAAACAAAAATAATGAGGAAAGAGGAATGGTTAAACTCTTGGCATCAGTTTCAGACTGAGGCATATCAGTGCTTCAGTAGCTTGACAGTGGCTTGGCTGGCAGTATTTTTGAAAGAATCTAATGTTAAAAGAAACAGTTGTTAAGATACTGGTTTGATTATTTGGACAAGACCCTTGGGTTAGGTACGAATATTAGAGAAAATTGTTTTAAACTTGTGCAAGAGAGAATTGGTCAGTAGCGAGAATGATCTGGTAGGATGAGGAGGAGGTGAGTCTGTAATAAACTCCAGAAAATCCTGAAGGGGGAAAAACCCATTAGGCTGAAGTGGTTTATAGATTACAGGTAATTTCAGGTTTGCTGCTGCTGGAAGAGATGGAGGTGCTCAGAGTGAAAATAAAGGTGATATTTAGAGAATTAATTAAGTAAGAAAAGGAGACACCATGGCAATTTTAAATGAATCCATGGATTCATGTACCTAAATGATACTAGATTTATTTTACTTCCAGAGACAGTTAAACAGATTCTTGTTCCTATGTTTTAAAATAGGCCAGGAAGTAATTGGGAATATTTTGAGTCAAGTTAGTCTAATGTAAATACTTCAGAAATTTCAAATTGCTCTTGGTGAGATCATCACATTCGTGGGAAGGCATACTTTTAATAGGGAGAGTTCATGATAGTGAAGATTTTTTTAATGCTTTTTTCTGTAAAATTTGGAGTTATGTAAGAAATCTGAAGTGATGAAAAACTTGAGGATTTTTTTAGAACGATAAAACAAAAAACCCCAGTCATTGTATGACTTGCTGCACGGCTGTACAAAGGGCAGCAAGATCCATTTGTAGTAAAACAGGGGTTGAATTTTGAACGGAATATATAACTTGATAATACTAGTCCCAGCCTTGGTGGAAGTGTTTCTGAAGTACAGATGGATTTATCCATGACTGAAATAAGCTTTAGAGCAGATTTCTGAATAAGAAAGTGTGGTATTGCTTCAATACAGTCTTTTCCTGGGAAAGAATACTTTGAATAACTTAATAGTTATTAAGCTAGCTAAACTTTTTCAGAGGTGTATCAGTGACATGCAACACTCGCGTTAAGCATCATCTGAAAAACTCCTTTGTTTGGATTTCACAGTGTATCAGCAGTAATATTAATGTAAAAGGGAGACAGGCGTTCTCATCCCCATCTTCTGTGTCTCATCTGTACTTTGTTGCAAGCAAGTCATCGGTCTGAAATAAATACCGTGCCTTCTCAGCTTTGGATTAAGACACTATGGGAATGTTGCGTAACTACACACTGCAAGCATATCAGTAGGGATTCAGCAGTGCTGTTCTTGAGGGGTTGTCGTGCAGGTATAATATTTTGGGTAATCTCAGGAAGCGGCTTCCCAAAGCATTTCAGTGGATTTTTGTCCACAGTTGCTCACTTTTCCCATGTGATCGAGAAATGGGTTTAGATCAAGTCTAACATAATGAATAGTTGAAACCATTCTTTGAGGCTGCTTTCCAGACTGTTGGAAAACCATTCAGTGGGTTTGTGTTATTTTGAAATATTTTAATGGAGTGATATTTCAGTCTTAGGAGAAAACTCACTTTCTGGGGGTAAATTTTTTTAACAACCATTGACTGGGATTACTCATTTTCAGTAAGATGTCTCTTGAGAAACTCAACTGCTTTTGTTTATTTAGTTACAAAAGTGCTTGTTTTAGTTGAAGCCTATGAGAAAATACGAATGTTATGGCATACCCTTCACAGATATTTACTTTTTCCTCAGACTACGAAAACAATACGTTTGCTCAGTTCTTAAGAACACGGAAGTTAACACCCAGCTTGCAGCACTTCATTCTTCACTCTATTGCAATGGTTTCGGAGACTGATTGCAGCACTCCTGAAGGTCTTCAGGCAACAAAAAAATTTCTTCAGTGCCTTGGCCGCTATGGCAATACACCATTTTTGTTTCCTCTTTATGGTCAGGGTGAGATCCCACAGTGCTTCTGCAGGTAAGTGTCACTTTTCTAACGCATGCCTTTCAAAAAGGAAATCCGTGGTAACCTAATGCCAATCGATACTATTCAATAGGAATCATCCTCTTAACAATTTCATGTTGGTTTTATTTGCTTTATGTTTTCATTGGCTGTGAAATACTACCCTCCCCCCCAAAAGAAAAGATAGTGGAAATTATGCTATTCCCATACTTTGAAACAATTTTCATTCTATTTCAAATGCATCCTGTAATAGCTGGCTGTCATGGTGGCTGCCTGTGGTGACAAGTGCTGGGAAATGAGAAAGACATAATTTAACTCACATGTAGCTATCCCTTTTTAAAACTGACAAGAGGATGCTTGGAGTGATATCTGTCCAAAAGGATGACTCTGCATTTTGGTAGGTAGAGAAAATTTGTGGATTTGTCTTCCTGAAGTTACAGGAAGATGCATGTTTTCAATTTGTGTTACTAATTAGCACTGAGAGTGTATCTATCACTCATAGGTAAATATTTAATAATTAACTGGATTTTTCCAAAAGAAGCAAAATTTTGCCATGTGTTCAGTTTATTATTAAATTAAAAAAAATAATCATTCCTTCACCTTTGTTTCATGACAGTCTTACACAAACAGGGCAACTGATGTGAAATCTTGTCCTTACTCTCTTGACTTCATTTTATACATCTGTATAGGCCGCAAGCTTCCACGTACTACTTGAAGAGCAGAGAAGCTGTCATGAGGCCCTGTTACCCTGAGCCGTTACAGACTGCAGTTTTACATTCTGACATCTCAAACAGCAGTCATAAGTTCTCCGCTACTTGAGCCCTAGAAAGTAATTAAAATTAAAACCCTATTGGTTCCGTGGTAAAACACCACCCACTTCAACCCCTTTACTTGAACCGTGGACAGGGATAACACGGTCTTCAGCGTGACTCCTGAGGCGTGCTGGGGATCGTAGTTCGAGCAGAGGAGTTGTTGATGGATGGTTTTGGGGACCATCAAGAATACATGTGCAGAGGGTGGGTGGTTTTAATTTTCAGTTATTTCCAACAGTTCAACTGGCTTTTAAAAGGCTGAGGTTTTTTTTATATCTTTTATTTTGCTGGCAGGCAGCCTTTCCATCTGCTCTGTGTGGGTTTTTAATGTAGTAACCTGTAGGTCTGAAATAAACATTAGCTCTATTTTAAAAAAGCAGTATTGCATGGTGAGGGCATTTTGTTGTCTGAGTGATATATCCGTGTGTCATTAGTTTAAATATCAATGCAAAGTCTTAACTGCTTTGTTATTGGTGGACAAGTTCTGCTTCTTAAGTGTGTGCTCCTATTAAAGTCTGGTTTACAGCACGCTTTTGGACATTATCTTCCTGTCTTGTCTGTGTGATAGATTGGGTTGTTCTTCTCTATTACAGTACTTAAATTATTGCTAGAAGAATGGCCTTAGCAGCTTGAGCCTATTTGGCAGTATATAGGATGGATGCAATTAAGTGTTGACAGAAACATTCTGGAATAATGATCGTTGTTTGTGGAAGGTATCTGTGAAGTAGCCGGTTGGCACCGGCAGCTGGCCGTATTGTGGAAGATCTTATTTGGCCTTAGCAACTCATGTTAGGCCACGGGAAATTGGTCTGTATGATGTATACATGTAGATCATCTACTGTTTCCCTTAGTTCATTGGACAACTGGGCATTGTTCTGTACTGCGTTGAATAGAAATGTTACTTGGTAACACCTTCTGTCAATAGCCTTTCATCTGTACCTCGAACTGTATTGGTATGGCGGTTTAAAAACAGGTGGGCCTATGTCATTAGCTGCTTGGGCAGGCAATTTGTGAACAGGAATTGGTTTTAGGTAGGTACTCTGGACACAGTCGTGCAATAGAACTTGTGTTCATGGAGTTTATGGTTGTCTTTCTGTCTTTATAGGGCTTCATGTGGGACCAGATATCTGTACGTGACCAACAGATTAATAAATCAAAATACTATCAAAGCCATTACAGTAGCACAAGTTTTGCAGTTAGACCCTTTTTAACTTCAAATACTTGGAAAAAAAGTAAATTTAATAATTAAGATGGAAATTAGAATTTTAGTTATACTCTTCCACTGTACGTTCCTCTCTGTATAATTTTTCTTGTGTTCTTGAAAGTCCTTCGGCTTTATTTTAATGGCCAGCACATGCGGTTTTCTCATCTGTAACAACAATATATTTCAAGAGTTCGAGATAGTGATGTTTAGAAGTTTTATAAATATCCTTATCAGAAAATCATTTTGTGATCAGATGGCCTGAACATTCTATTTATGTCCATTGATTTCTGCGTTTTAGGAATTTTTGCTAAATTGTAAGTCTTACAGTAAGGACAGTATTTTAATAGTCGAAGGAAATTATTCTGTCAAACCCTGAAGTAATTATACTTCTAAAAGGTCTGTATTACAACAGTGTAGTAAAAAATAAAATTTAAATGTTTTTGGTTTTAAGCGAACAATTGAGAAGGCAATCACAATTTTTTTTTTTTTTTGAGATTAATCACAATTTTTATATGTGGCCTGCCTTGGGTATTATGTCTTGCTAAAACTGCGCAGTATCCGAGGAATATGGTTCAGACTGTATAGTAAAGTGGTAACGCCACAACCTATACATCATACCCTGCAGTTTTTATCACCAGGTTATCAGAGTAAGGTGTCACCTGTTCTGTGATTTCTAACCACCATTCCATATTCTGTTTTAATGTAAACCTCTTAAGCGTTTCTTGCAGCCAGTTACACTGTGTGTTCTCATCAAGGCTACTGTTATAAATGGCATGCATGCATATTTATGTGAATGAGTCAAAGACATTTGTAAGTCACATCCTTGCATTCTAAATGAATTCTGCATAAACAGTACAGCGTTTTATAACTACTGACGACACTTGAGTGAGTAAAAGCGGTGTTAGTTCTTTATTGGTTTAAACAGGTATGGTTTAGGAGAGAAAATTAAACTTTTATATCATTGTAATGTACCTCCCAATATGTCGAGTTACAGATGTGAGATTTCTATCTCCATAAATTGGATTCGTGGTACGAGGAAGGTCATTGGAAGCCTCTGAGCTGACAAGCAGCAAAACTTTTCTGGCCTGCATAACAGCTTCCTTTGGTATGAAACTGTTATGTCTCTTCCTTTCTAATGAAGTAGTAGTAGTGTTATGCTTCATAAAAATAAATATCATAAAAAATCATTCTTGAGAAAAATCAAAGCAAGTCTCTACGTTTGATATGGTAAACCATAAGATGCTAAGACCCCTGTATGTAAGGCAGCCAGGGAAATCAAGGTAAGTTTGGCTGTTAACATGTTTGTTGCACGTCTGTAATACAGCTTTCATTTCCTTGAAAATATATCACTAAAGAAAAACTATAATTGTAAACTGTAAAGTCTCAGTGATGCAACGTTTAGAATATTTAGTGAGATTTGGATGTTTTTCTGGTTTTAGAAAACATTGGGAAATACCTCAAATATTTTCTGAATCAAGAGGTTAATATTGAATTTTAAGCTTCCAAATTTTCCTTTGTAACTGGGGTGGGGTGGGGGAAATATATATACAGACTTAAAAATCTGAAGTAGTTGTCAAATATGAGGACATACTTGCTCTTGCATGTTGTACAAAATTCCTCTCTTGTAACTTGAATCTCCTTTCCTTCCAGTCTTTTAGAAACAAAACTATATGAGTTTTCATGGTTTTGAGGAGTGTTTGAAAGTGCTATTTACAAATACTGTTTCACAGTGTTCACTTTTAGAGTTCACCTCAGTGAAACAGGCCTCTTCTTTGCAGTTTTCCTGTGAGAGGAAGTCTTTCTGGAAGCTTGCAGTTGTGGTTCTCCTCACCCATGAGCAGTGTTGTTGAATGCACGACAGCTGAGAAGGCAGCTCTAGGTTGTGGCCTCACTTGTGTGATTCACACTGAATTTTGAGGGAGACTGCATAGATTCTCTTCAGTTCGGTTTCAGGTTCTGTCTGGACTCTGGCAAATCAAACCTCCGACTGGAAACAAAACTTTCTGAGGAGCAGTCATTTTCCCTGTTTGAAGTATGAGAGGGAACTGCCTGTCATCTCATAAAGGTTCTAGGGGGTGACGCACAGGGCCCTTTTTCTCTTTATTAAGATTTGTCGGAATCGACAGATGTGGTCGTGGTAGTAGGTGCTGAGGTGGCAGAATGTCTTCAGCTGCTTTGCCATAGGAATTAGTGATTCGCTGCCTTTTATGGGTAGTCAATGACTTGCATTTCCTATAAATAAGCTTTGAACTTTTACATCGTGCATGTATTTGGAGGGCTAGGTAACCTTTTTTAGTAGTTGCTACAGGTTCTAACTGAAATTAGTCATTTTTCTGTCATTGCCAGTGACAGTAGTAATTTTATGATGGAGGAAAGATCTGATTAAGACAGTTCATCTCTTTCAATACCTATATTTACAAGAAGATGAAGAGTCCAGGCTGAGATATGATGGATTTTGGGATTGATTTGGAAGGTTCCTGTATGTATTTCAAAAATGAATAATCAGTTTTTACCCTTACATTTGAGCTATTACCTGCTACAAGTGTTAACGTTTCTGAGGTAGTCTGAGGTACTTTAACATTTCCAGTTATGTCCCAGTTACAATCTCTAGGAAGATTTTAGAGTTTTGAAATCAAGACTGGACTTTAGGAAACCTGACTGTAATAATAATTTAGAATTGATATATTAAAAATTTAGTGCAACATCTTTTCATGGAATCTGTACATGAGTATCATGTCTCTACATGTAAGCAATATGCATAACTTCTGTATGTTAATTTTATGGTTTGGCATATTAATGGCAAATTCAAACTATGTTAATTGCTTGTGAGGATCAGATAGGACAGATTTGGGTCTTTGCACATGGGTAAGTGTGAAAGAATCACAGGTGATTTTACAAACATAGGCTGGATCTGAGGTATGAGTTCAGTCCTACAATTCAAAATAAATAATTTTCATATTTATACGTGTTGTATCACTTAAAATTACTCCATTTATTTG